CATATAGGCTCTCTAAAGCTTCCTAATCTGTCAATATTTCTGTTTGATGACCAAGTATTCCCTAGACGTCAGTGTACATCAAAAAACTGAAACAACTATATGCCACGTAGTCTTCAAAGAGAGGTGCAAAAAATGTGCAGTAAATATAATTGCAGTTTTCTCAGAGATTTGAGGGCCTATTTCCCAGTTGCAACTGCAGAGACTCCAAGGCTATAATAATAGCATTTACCAAACAATTATGTGAAATCTCTCCTAGGTGCTAAATCCAAAGAACAGGATTCCATTTTTGTGATTTTATTCCTATTTTTCTCTTGGTTTTATTTTCAGAGACTTCTTTCTCTGAAAAATATTGATGTAACAAAACTAGAGCCATTCTAATTCTTGAGGAAATGTGTAAGGAAGCAGAAATAATGCACTGAAGTTATTTTTGGTTTGGGTTTGTTTTTTATTCTCCTCTTTTGTGCCAAAGTATGAGAGTAAAATAAAGCAGCAGAAAGATAACCTGTTTGTCGTGCACTTGTTCTGGGCCAAGTCAAGTACCAGAAACTTCATGTATGTTTTCTTCTAATGCTTTAAAGCAACTTGGATATTGTTCCCATTTGACAGATTAGAAAATGAGACCAAAAAAAAGTAATTTCTTTTTATTCATTCAAAAACTCACCCACTAATTCAGTCACTATTTTTCTTACATTTACTGGATATAAACACTAAGCTAGGTATTAAGAATGAAAGGCAGAGGGGAGATGCTTCCTACCCAAGTCTGATGTGTGTATGTGTGGAGTAGGGAGGAGTCAAACTAAAAAATGTAATAAGTAGATAATTACAAATTATAATAAGTGAGTGTTGGACATAAAAAATTATTGAAGATATGAAATGAGGGGGTGCATATATATATATATTAATTGACAGAGACCATGTGTTCTCTCCAGGGAGAGAGTGAAAGGGAAAGCGAGAAAGTATCCCCTCACAGGGTGTGGATGCTCTGCAATCCCTTCTCCTTCCAACTCTCCCTCCTTTTGGGATTTTGGGCATATGTGCACATAGACTCAGCATTCTTCTCAAGCCTCTGGGACCAACACGTGAACCATGCAGTTGACCGCATGAGATTCAGCAGCCCTGACCACCATGCCATTGGCTGGCCCCCAAAAGGTGAAATTTTAGTCTTGACCTTGAAGGAAGAAGAAAAAGAGTGACCATAAGACATCACGCGCACACACACACACACACACACACACACACACGCACACACACACATGCACACACACGCACAATGCCCCTCCTTGAGGACATTGCACCCACTACCCTGTCCGATGATACCTCCTGGCATCAGGATGGTGCAGCACCCCAAGCTGGAAAACTTGAATTATCCAGAACTAATACCTAGATGGCTATAGCCCAGGACTTAAAGGGAACGATGACATAGAAAGAAGCAAGGGAGGAAGACAGGTACCTGCAGCAAGAGGGAAGAGTATGCCCATCAGCTGTGGAGCAAGTAACTGGTAGACCAGGGATCCGAACTAATTCCCAAGTCTCCACTATAGCACAGGGGTTCTCCAAGTGTGTTGCATAGATCAGCGTCACCTGGGAACTTGGTAACAATGCAAATTTTTGGAATCCAGTTCAGGTCTACTCAGTCCAACGTTCTGGAGCTGGGATGCAGAAGTCTGTGTTTGAATAAGGTGATTCCAATGCACACTCAAGTCTGATATCCACTACCTGCATGAGGATAAGAGAACCTTGATTTCCCTTTTCCTCTCACTTGCACTTTGCCCTACTATCTAAGCACTAATCCCTTATGTGATCCAGTTACTTAGGAGATAGCACTGTTGTTATTCAGGATCTAGGGATCAGCTCTTTGCCTCACTTGGCATATTCATTGCAAGTTTCTAGCTTCACCAAACCCCTCTCTCTCTGTTGCAGGACGATTCGCCCCAATAGTGCGGTGCGCTCTATCTACAAAGCTTCAGGCTGCTCTGATAAACCCAACCACCATGTCAACTACCTGGAGCACGTGGTTGTGCGCATTACCATCACCCACCCCAGGAGGGGAGACCTGGCCATCTACCTGACCTCACCCTCAGGAACCAGATCCCAGCTCTTAGCCAACAGGTACAGTGAGGTGTCTACCCATAAGGGTAGGGACCACACCAACACTCAGCTACTTTTTCTTGTAAGAAGGGGGAACTGCTCCTTACTCCTACCCTGAGACAAGTGAGGGGCACTTAGGTGTCATAACTCATTGCTCATAAGCAGAGAGTGTGACACTGCCTAGAATCTGTAGGCATGAAAGAGTATGCTATTTCTGAGTCAGCGGGTGGCATGGAAGTGAATATGCTGGACCCCACGTGGCCAACTACACAGTTCAAGTCCCAGAACCGGCAGCTTGAGGATCAGGCTGGACACATGTGCATGCATGCCCAAGATCCTGAGAGGAGACTGGAGAAGAAGGAAATGCAGTGTTTCCATCCCCCCTGAGGGGGTGATTTCTCACTCTCACTCTCTCTTTCTGTCTTTGGCAAGCATATGCACCCTATATCAAAAACTTTTAGAGGAAAAAGGAAAAACGTGTTTTTTAAAAGGATGCTTCAGAAAAATTAAAGACCATTTGTTCTTTATCCTAAAAAAGAGTTACAGAGCTCTAATTCCTATGACCTCTATGATTCCACCCTTCTGTACCCCCACATTAAATGTCTGCTGACATTTGTAATAGACTAATAGAATTCTCTTTTCAAGCACTTACTTTTTAAGTTATTTATTTCATTTGATTTATAGTTATTATTATCATATTTCAACTTGCTGCAGGGCACATGCACTCACCAGCGAGAGAAAGTGAGAAAGCAAGCTGCCAAATCCAGGACTTGAACCATGGTTGACCATGTGAGAATCTAGCACCTTAACCATCATGCCACCTGCTGGCCCCTAAGCACTTACTTTCCAAATTAAAGGAAATTCTATTTGTTTTAGTGCATTTCTTTCCCCCCTCCATAGGTGTGTGTGTGAGAAACAACTAGAGACAGAGAGAGAGTACCTCCAACAGGGTCTTGACATGATCTACCCCAGCTTCAGCCATGGAGTGTGGGCAAGCACATGCCCAGTGCACTCTGGGAGGTCTCAAGATGCAAACCCAGGACCATCCTATGTGAATCAACCTTGAAGAGCATTGCATTTGATTACTGTGGCATTGTTTGGTCCTCTAATTTTTTTTTTAAAGCAGGTGCTGGAAATTTTTTCTAGTAAAGAGCTAGAAAATAAGAGTTTTGAGCTTCATGAGCAGCATCTCTTTCCCAACTGCCAAACTCTGCTGTTGGAGTACAGAAGCGTTTATAGGCAATATAGAAGAATAGACATGACTGTGTTTTATTTAAACTACCCCATGAGGCTGACTTGGTGCCTAGTGGTCAAGGAAGCCAGATCCCAGATAGCTGGTTGTGGTTCAAATCCCACCTCAGTGACTTGAAAATCACATTGGGAATATGTGCATGTATGCCCCATATCTCAACAGGACAGAGAAATGGAGGAGGAGGAGGGATTGTGGTATTACAACACCCCATGGCAGGGATCACTCCCTCTTTCTGTCTCACTGTTACTCTCACTCTCGCTTGCTCTCTTTCTCTCTCCCTCTTACAAGTGCATGTGCCCTCTGGCAATTAAAAAGGAAAAAAAAAAAAAAAAAAAGCTAAAAGCTATACCTACAGACAGTAGACCACATTTGGACCCTGCTTTTTTGTTTTGTTTTGTTTTAGTTTTTGTTATAGGGCATGTGCACTCGCCAGAGACAGACAGAGAGTGAGAGACAGAAAAGTGAGAAATCACCCACAGGGAGGATGTCCACACCACAATTCCTTCTCCTCCATTTTCTTCTCAGGATTTTGGACACATACACTCAGTGTGATTTTTCAAGCCACCAGGTCCGGGACTCAAACCACACAGTTGGCCCTGTGGGATCCAGCACCGTCACCTCCATGCTACCTGCTGACTGTGGACCTTATATTCCTCTCGGGATCTTGGGCACGCACGCACACACGCCCGGTGTGAGTTTTAAGCCACCGGGTCTAGGACGCGAACCCCAGTTGACTACGTGGGAGTCCAGCGACATAGCCATTATGCTAACTGCTGGTCCACCCCCCACCCCGTGGTCCTTGATTTTTAAAGTCAGCATTTAGTCTTTATTGCTCTGCAAGGCACCTAGTTTCTCTCAGCCTGTCTCCTTATCCCTGCTCCCTCCCAAACATTTCACCAACACATAAGTAACCATATTGTGCACAGGCCAGGATCCTGCTAAAATAAAAGGCCAGAATGTTCTAGTACAAGTTTCCTTTTGCTCCATTGGCTTTTTGAGTAGCTGAGAGCATGGGAGGGAATTGTCAACAAGTGGGACCAAGGAGGGAAGAAGTCAGATCTCTTAACAGACCTCATTCCCATTATGGCTCTAAAATATAAACCACAGCCAAAAGTCTAAAAGCTTCCCATTAAATGTTCTCTTGGAGGAAGAGGAACATTTAATGGGAACAAAGCTTATCATCAGTGGCATGTATAGTCCAACTAGAAGTCAAACATTTTTTTTCAATGCCACACAGTGCATCCATGCACACACAAAAGAGTATGCACTACAGAGAGAAAGCGTCCCTTAAAGGGCCTGATGTTGCAGTCATTTTTCCCTTCAATTTTCCATCCCTGCACACACACCCAGCATAAAGATGACAAGGCCAGGACTTGAACCATGTGAAATCCAGCTTCCTCTATACAGCACGTAACTGCTGCACTAGGGGCCAGCCTCAAAAATCAACCTTTTGGGGCCAGCAGATGTCATGGTAGTTAAGGTGTTGGACTCCCACATGGCAGACCGTGGTTCCAATCCCAGACCTGGTGACTTGAAAATAAACTGGATGGCTTGAAAATCCCAGAACAGAGAAGGTTTTGCAGCATGACCATTTCCCCTGGGGAGAAGACGAGGAGGGAATTTCTTATTGTCCCTCTCATTGTCCCTCAGTTTCTCAGTGGGCATATGCACCCTATAGAAAAAAAAAAAAAGAAAAGAAAAGAAAAAAATAAATAAAACTCAGCCTTTTATGGAGTCATGTAGCCTTCTATCTGGGTGCCGAGTGACCATGGCAGTCTGACAAGGAGTTGTGAGGCTCAACTTCCCAGTTGCCAGTTCCTTTAAAATAAATAAATAAATAAAAATAAAACTTCCAACTTTATCTGCTGTAGGACAGTGAGAAAAGACAACAGTAACAATTCTAGGTGGAAGGGCTTACGAATACAGAATCTCCAATCTTCAAATGCACTTTATTTTTCTGCTTAGAGTTCTCATGGTCTTTCAAACCTACCATCTTTGCTAGGGTACAGGGAAAACTGGGCCCAGTGCTCGAAACACAAAGTGCAGCTTTGCCAGAGTTAGAGTGTGCAGGTGCCGGGAACCCTTGGCATCGGGTCTCTGAGCGCTTCTCCATGCCCTCCTCCTGCCAGACAAAGAGATCTCAGCCTCTTGCCTGCCAGGTAATTGCTGCTACCTGCCTGAGGCTTCTTTCCAGCAGGCAAGGCCTTTGGATGAGTAATTATGTGATTAATGGAGGGCTTACCAGCTGTTGTTACTGAAGCCAGAGAAGGCAATTCTTTCTGTTTTTTCCCTCTTTTTTTTTTTAAACCATTATTCCTCTGGATTTAAATTGAAAGAATGTCCTGGTGAAACACTACATATAAAGGGCAAAGGTTTGCTTCATGTATAAGTGGGCCTTATCCTCTGAGGCCCCTCCATTGTAGAGAAATAGCCCCTCCACAGTTGCTGTTTGCTTACAAAACAGCCTCCGTGGTCGTCTGGTTGTTGGCTTCCCCTGTAATGACGTGAGTGCGGAAACTCGTGCGCAGAGGAGCCATGGATTCCATTACAGGCATCTGGTGGATTGCAGTGTCATGGCTTCGGGCTCGCCCGCATTCCTCAACAGCTGACATCTGCTTGCTCTTTGCGACGTGCCGAACGTGAGCGCTGCGCGCCTTGTTGTCAGAGAAAAGAAACAGGCGTTTCAGACGCTCATTGACTGATGTTCCCAAGGTTTCCCTCTGTCTCTCTCCTCAAAACCACCTGGGAATACGGTTTGCATCCAGAGTGTCTTCGTGGAGTATTTTCAAGTGCAATATATCCTCCATCTCAGTCCCGAAAATAATACCCACCAAAAAAAGGTAAAAGAATTAGAGATTGGAGGGGCTGGAGGCGATAGACATAAGCATGTTATGAGTTCGTTTGCCTGCAGCTCCCCCAAAATGCCGCCCTGAACAGCTGACCCTTCAAAATGTGAAACAGCTGCACTTGGTCTCAGAACCACAAAGGGCCACCTTCCCGGGCCTGGCCCCCGTTTTTGTGCTTCACATGAGTAGTGTCCCTCCTACGGAGGCAGCTGAAGTGAGACGGTTTCTTTTGGCATTCTTTCCTTCTGGCATATTCTGAAGGTTTCATTTTATTAGCGGAAATCTCCACTCAAAACCTCTCCATTTCTGACCCAGTGGAAAGGCGTCCTCATGTCCTCTCACCTTGGCCCTGTTTTAAAGCACGTTCCCAGGATGGAAAGCTGAGCAGGAAGCATAGAGGAGGTAGCCAAGGGGTGAAAGAGAGGCCAGCCTTGCCCCTGGCATCCTTCATGTTAGTATGCAAGACCGTACTGTTCCCGAAGGCAAAGGTGAAGAGGTCAGGTTTTAGAAGGAATTTGTGTTAGTGATTAGCCACATTCACAAGAGCAATAAATAGTTCCCCTACTGGACACTTATCTTGCTTTCAAAGAAGCCCAGATTTCTAAGGAGGACCAGGGAAAGCAAAGAGCACAGTTAAAAAATAGCAGCTTTGCAAAGTTTGAAATGAAGGTGCAGACTGCTGGTGGCAGAGTTGTCCCCAGTTTATCTGTCCTGTTTCTCTGGGAGGTGCAACTTTTTTCACCCAGACTTAGAATTCCCAATTCTGCAGGCTTATTAGCCTTATTAGAGAAAGTAACAAAGCACTCCCCTCCATCCCCCTTCCAGGGAGGATGACCACACTGTAGCCCCCTCTCCTGCAGCTAATTCAGGAAATGACCCCAAGGCTTTCAAAGTAGTCCCTCTGCTCCATGGCTTACCTATGG